AATTTAGAGAAATTGAAAAGTTGCTGAATAGTTTCAAGCAATATGATATGAAGATGGATGAATCCATAGTTGTGTCTTCAATAATTGATAAACTTTCTCATGCATGGAAAGATTTCAAGAGAACACTGAAACATAAAAAGAAATATAGAAAATCTTGCTAACTCTTTGAGATTTGAAGAGCAATATAGAGTAGAAAATGAAAAGAAGCAAAAAGTGCAAGTCTCGGATGTGCATGTATTGGAGGAAGGAACTTCAAGCAAGCCCAAAAAGCCTTTCAAGAAGGAGTATTCTGTCAAGCAGAATTAGAAATTTAAGAAGCAAAAGGGTGCATGTTTCCATTGTGGAAAAACTGGATACTTCAACATGGAGTGTTATTTTCTTAAGAAGAAAAGGAATGCACCAGCATTATCACATGAAAAATTCATTGTTGTGATTTCTGAAATTAATCTCATGGAAGATGACATTGCTTGGTGGATAGATTCTGGTGCTACAAAGCATGTTTGCAAGGACAAAAGTTTATTCAAGACTTTAAAACTAGAACCTGAAGGGAGTGTGCTGTATGTGGGAAATTCTGCAATAGTACAAGTGAAAGGCAAAGGAACCGTGGACCTTGAGTTCACTTTTGGAAAAGTTCTCACTCTCACTGATGTGCATTATGTGCCAGATATCAAGAAAACTCTAGTTTCAGCAAGTTTGTTGAACAAATTTGGTTTTAAACTTGTATTTGAGGTAGATAAATTTATTGTCTAAGGGTGAGATTTTTGTAGGAAAAGGCTATGCTTATGAGGGCATGTTCAAGATGAACATTAATAATAATACTAACAATAAGATAAATTTATTTTGTCTAAGGGTGGGATTTTTGTAAGAAAATGCTATGCTTGTGAGGGCAATGTTCAATATGAACATTAATAATAATACTAATAATAAGGGTGTTGTTTCTACTTATATTCTTGACTCGTTTAATTTATGGCATCATAGATTAGGACATGCTAATTTCAGGAAGATGCATGAGATGTCTAAATTAGAATTAATTCCTACCTTACCTAAAAATGAATCACAATGCAAGACATGTATGCTTATTAAAATTACTAGAATTCCTTTTCCTAAGATTGAAAGAGTTTCTAAATTGCTTGATCTTGTGCATAGTGATGTTTGTGACATGCATAGTACTCCTACTATTGGTGGCAAGAAATATTATGTTACTTTTATTGATGATTATTCAAAATTCTGTTATGTTTACTTGTTAAATACAAAAGATGAAGCAATGGAAAAAATTCAAAGTTTATAGAGCAGAAGTGGAATTGCAAAGTGAGACATTTATCAAATGTCTAAGAACTGATAGAGGTGGGGAATATTATGATCCATTTTACTTTGAATCCACTAGAATTATCCATGAGATAATAGCCCAATACACACCACAACAAAATGGTGTGGTAGAATGTAAGAATAGAGTTTTAACTGAAATGGTGAATTCCATGTTATCAAATTCTGGTTTAAGTCCAGGTTTTTGCGGTGAAACATTGCTAACAACATGCCATATATTGAATAGGGTGCCTACTAAAAAATGCCAAGTTATCACATATGAACTTGGAAGAAAAGAAAACCAAACCTTAACTATTTAAGAGTTTGGGGTTGTAGAGCAATTGTAAAGGTACCTAAACCCAAAAGGAAAAAGGTTAGGTGAAAGAGGAATTGAATGTATATTTTTGAGGTATGTAGAAAATAGTGAGGCATGCCAGTTTATGGTCATTGAACCAAATGATTCAATTAATG